CTGTTGCTCCTTTGTCCCCTGCCCGTGTTTAACATCCCATTTACAACAGGGAGGAGGCTTAAACCACCCCAGCTCCCATAGCAGGGGCTGGGTGAGAGCTTAAACCAGCCCAGCTCCTATAAATGTGCCTGGGTGAGAGCTCAAACCATCCCAGCCCTGCAGCTGAGACAGCTTAAACCACCCCAGCTCCTATAGCAGGGCCTGGATGAGAGAGCACAGCCCCAGCCACAGCTCCACAGAGCAAACACAAGGACAGAACCACCCTGACACGTCCAGGAGGAAAATCCAGAGCTGAGGAATACAATTTCACCAACACCACCCTATCCTCCTGCCCCTGGATGTGTCTGCTGGGTGTCAGGGGGTGGCTGCAGTCCCCTGGAGATGCCACTGAGGCCGTGCCACATCCTGACTGCTCCCAGAGGTGACATTTGTGACATTTGTGGCTCACACCCTCAGACACCTCACCAGGCTCCTCTGGCAGCATCTCCTGGGCTTTGCTCAGTGCCAGGGGGGTCACCATGGCTTTTTCTGGCTGGCAGATCAACTTGGAGCTGGTCACTCCTTCCCCAGCTCATCCTGCCCAGTGCTGGGGGAGAAGAGAGGTCCCTGCTTCCCCCAGGAGAGCATTCCTGATGTTCTGGCATCCCCCATTCCTCTTGCCCTTTCAACAGGAATTTCTGAGCCCCCGTGTCCCAAACACAAATCCAGTTCTGAGACTTGGACCCTACAGCTCAAGGGTCCTCTGGGGGGTGGTTTTACATCTCTTCAGCCAAACTCAGCTGGTTTCCACCCAAAGGGCTTTGATGCAGCAAGGTCAGGGTAGCAATTCCCCCTCTCAGAAGGGCTCAGACCTGCAGCTCCACCTCTGCTCCCTTTGAGGACACTCAGTGTGAGAGAATCTGCAACAAATGTCTTGGTTTGAAAAGCCAGGTGTGTGCTGAGGAAGGCAGGAGCCTCCCCTGAAATAGAAAATGTAATCTCCTCTCTCTGAATTATTATAATTTTTAAATTAAGGGGCTCATAGGCAAAGGTATGGGAGTAAGAATAACAGGTCTTTATTAGGAAAATCAAAAATACAAATGCAATAGGACCAAAAAAAACCCAAAAAAGACACACAGTCAGAGCAGGAGCTGACTCCCTGTATGTCAGAGTGGTAGCCCAGCCCCATGCCATGGGGGCTCAGCCCTCCTGCAGTGCCAGCTGTGGCTCTGCTGCAGCAGGGATCCTGCACAAGGGGGGATTTTTCCTCTGCAGCTCCAGGGCTGCTGGAGATGGGCCTGGGCTCCCTCTGGGAACGCAGGGCAGCAGAAAGCTGCTCCTCTGGGAATGCAGTGGGCAAAGGCTGCTGGGGTGTCCCAAACCTCAGATTGTATCCAGGTAGGAATGTTCCAAATCTCAGATTGTATCCAGGCAGGAATGTTTGAAACCTCAGATGGTACCCAGGTAAGAATGCTTGGCTCCTCCCCTGGGCGGAGCATCTCCCCATGGGATGATGGAATTTGATCAGCCATGCAGGGACACTCACTGGCCATGGACAGAAGATAATTAATAATTAATGGCCCATGAACAGAAGAGATCTCCTGGAGGGAGGATGGGTTGTGGAAGAGATAAAGAAAACTGAATTAAACATTCAAACCCCACATCCCATTCCTGCCCTTACCCTGGCTGGGCCATTAGTCTCTAATGCTCAGGCAGCTGAACTCCTTTTAAAAAATGAATTTTTACTCTGTTTTGCTGACCCCTGAGGACTGCAGAGCTGAGTGGGGAGTCTGTGGTGACACAGGTGTCACTTCTTTGTAAAAGTTCCAACCTCCAGACACGCTCAGAGGGGGATTCCTGAGTGAAAAGCTGCTTTCCAGTCCCTCTCCTCATTGGAATTCTGTCAGGTTTGGTCTGCTCTCCACATTCAGTCAAGACCTGACATTTCCCCTCTCAGATGTGAACACCCATGGCATGCTTTGACTTGCAAAACTTTCCCTGCTGCTGCTGTTGATCTTCAGGCAATCCCAAGAATTTGTGTGTTCCCCTGCCCACGAAGGACTGCAGTCAGCGCAGCACCAGAATTAAAATAGGATTTACAGAATTAAAATGAATATTACAGCAGGTGTGATGTTGAGTTTGCTGGGTCCCCAGGACAAGGTGAGATTTCTCTCTCAGCAATGCCTGTCCTGTTCCATGGCATTTCCAAGTCAGCATTTCTTATGTCCAGGTTTGCACACTGGGTGAGCCTTCTGCCAGGCTTGGAGAATTCCCTACAAATCAATTTCCCACACCCCTGGGCATGGTTGGGGCAGGGTTGGGGTGATTAGCAGCACCAGGACAGGGCATGGACAGGCATGGGGGGGTTCCCCAGCCCTGACACTGTCCCCTATTGATGTAGGTTGACCCTAACGAAGGGAATAATGTACTCTGACTCCATGATTTAGAAGGCTGAACAATTGCTTTATTACGCTATAGTATATTGCACTAATACTATACTAAATTACATACTAAAGAGATACTATACTAAAGAATACTAAATACTCAATTACATACTAAAGAAAATATTATACTAAAGAATAATAAAGAATGCTGTCTGAGACAGTCAGGACACAGTTTTTTGACTCAGTTAACTAAGGAATCAAAACAACTTTCACTAGTGTCTAATCAACAAATCACTTTGGGTAAACAATCCCCATAACATATTCCACATGTGCCACAACAGGAGCAGTGAAGAGAAATAAGAATTGCTTTATCTTCTTCTGTGAGCTTCTCTGTAAGAGCTTAAATAAGGGATGTGGAACTCCAGGTGGCTCTTCAAAATGCAGTTTATTCCATCCAAGAGGTTACAGCAGCCCAGGGTCGTGGGTGGCAGAGCTGTGCCCACAGCTGTCAGCTCCAGCTACAGCCAGGCCTGGAGACCCCTTGGTTTAGGTTACATTGCATTCTATACTTTTCTTTTGGTTACATTGCATTATATACTTTTCTTTGCTGAGCATCTTCACACAGTAGAACCAATCTATACCTTAACTTTTATCTCTAGGCTGTCATAACTACTGTAATTACCATATTCATGTTACTTTTCTCCAATCACTCAAAGTTAGTACATTACAGTTTATGCTAGAAGTTGTTTTTCAGTTTTCTTGCAGCGGAAAATTATGAGACCTTTTTTCTACTTGCAACTTGTTTTGTTTGCCTGTGCTATCCTTCTGCTTGGTAAAAACATCTTCTTGTTTGAGGTGGGTTTATCCTTTGCTCTAAGTCATAAAAACCCCTTCTAACTAACATACTGTTAGGAAAATTAATCTACAAACACCAGAGGTTTATGTCCAAAAAGGAGGCAGAGGACTTCTTTTACTTTATTTGACTAAAGGGAGAGGCCATGGGGCATTCCCCTGGGGTCTCTCCAATTTTTGGAGGACTCAGCCTCCCTTTTTATCCCAATTTCCCATATTCCCTCTCTCTTTCCCCATTGGCTGAGGTACTTGAGAGGTAAAATTTCCTGATACACTTGATACCAAAGATTTCCCTCTAATGTATAACCCTCCCTTTTAATTTTTAATTGTTATGGAATTTAGGAGGTTTTCTTCCCCATTATTTCTTCCATCTTTCAATGTCTAATTTCATTTACCAGCAAATGTAAAGTTTATTTGTAAATGCAAATATCTTTTTCCATTCACCAATTAGTGGAATCTTTTCCCATTGTTTCTTTTATCTCCCAGAGCTAGTTTTATCTACCAGCAGACCCACAGCTTGTTTGTAAAGACAAATCTGCTATTCCTTTCAATACCCTTTGTCTCCTTGGTTAGGGCTCTGTCACAGACACATTTTATGAAAAATCCTTTCCGTAAGATTTTTTCTCCTGAAAAGCTGAGAGGCCTCAGGAACAAAATGTGAACAATGGTTATCTGCTGCTGTGGAATGCAACAGGTGCATCTGGGATTGGTCTCAGGTGGTTGTTTCTAATTAATGGCCAATCACAGTCTGCTGGCTCGGACTCTGTCTGAGACACAAGTTTTTGTTATTAATTCCTTCTTTTTCTATTCTTAGCTAGCCTTCTGATGAAAACTTTTATTCTATTCTTTTAGTATAGTTTTAACATAATATATATCATAAAATAATAAATCAGCCTTCTGAAACATGGAGTCAGATCCTCATCTCTTCCCTCATCCTAAGACCCCTGTGAACACCATCACAGGGCTCAGCAATTCTTTTCTTCTATATCAAAACTTGCTTTTATTTCTATTCCTTCTTCAGATTCTGCATTCAGAAGAATGCTGCTAAGCACACAAATCTGTGAGACTTTCTTGTGAAACTTTCATCCTTCCCAGCTGTAGGAGCATTGGGGATAGGACAGTGGGGATGGACGGGGATGAGAGATCTCTGCAGCCAGGTTTGGAATTTGGGGTTTATTGCAAAGGGCCTGGGTGCAGGGCCCTGCTGGGAGCTGCCAAACACAGCTCAGAGCAGGCTGAGAGAAGAGAGGGGGAGAGAGGATGAGAGGGTGAGAGAGTAAAAGGGTAAGAGAGCGAGGTTCCCATTCCAATACAATAAATCTTCTTCTGTGCTGAATATTCTGATTCTCACTAACCAATCTAGTACAAGATACAGATCCTGTAGCATTTCCATACAGCCTATAAGAATCATTACATTGCCATCCTGTGTTACATTTTAAACCCTAAAAACTCCTCTTTGGGCCCTTCTGCCAAGCTGTAGGGTCTGCTCTGACCCTTGGGCCTGTCTGCAAGCAGAGGGTGTTTCATCACCTTCAGCTGGCCACACCATTGTTTTCCAGTTGTTCAGTAGCTGAGGGATCTCAAAGCTTGCTTTAATTTCAATCTCACTTATAGTTTCCATATTCTCAAAATCTTTTGCCAGACAATCATATTTGTAAGGCTTTCCTGTTTCATCTTCCCCAACACCCAACACTTCCTACTGCTTTCCCCTAAGAGAAACCCTTAGGACCTGGTGCCTGCTGCTCTCAGTGACAAGAGCTGCTGTCCCTGTCCGTGTCCCCGCAGGTCCCTGGCCCTGGGCCAGCAGTACAGCTCCCTGGGCTCCCAGCCCATCCTCTGTGGCTCCATCCCCGGCCTGGTGCCCAAGCAGCTCCGCTTCTGCCGCAACTACATCGAGATCATGCCCAGCGTGGCCGAGGGGGTGAAGTTGGGCATCCAGGAGTGCCAGCACCAGTTCCGGGGCCGCCGCTGGAACTGCACCACCATCGACGACAGCCTGGCCATCTTCGGGCCTGTCCTGGACAAAGGTAACCCTGGAGGGGCAGCTGGGCTGGGGGTAGGACTGGCACAGCTCCGCTGGGCTTTGGGGTGCACCAGGATTGTGTACTGAGCTCCTCTGGGCTGTGGGATGCACCAGGATTGAGTATTGAGCTCCTCTGGGCTTTGGGGTGCACCAGGACTGTGTACTGAGCTCCTTTAGGTGCTGGGATGCACCAGGGATGTGTACTGAGCTCCTTTGGACTTTGGGGTGTACCAGGATTGTGTTTTCAGCTCCCCACAGCTCCCCTGGGTTTTGGGATACACCAGGATTGGGCATTGAGCTCCTGTGGGCTTTGGAATTTACCAGGATTGTGTATTGAGATCCCCACAGCTCCTCTGGGCTTTGGGGTGCACCAGGATTGTGTACTGTGCTGCCCTGGGCTTTGGGGTGCACCAGGATTGTGCACTGAGCTCCTCTGGGCTTTGGAATTTACCAGGATTGGGTATTGAGCTCCTCTGGGCTTTGGGGTGCACCAGGATTGTGCACTGAGCTGCCCTGGGCTGTGGGGTGCACCAGGATTGTAGATTGAGCTCCCCTGGGCTTCACACTGGAAAAAGTGAGAAAGGGCCCCAAAACAGCCTGGAAGGAGAGGCTGGAGGGACAAATCATAGAATCACAAAATTCTCTGAGTTTGAAGGGACCATCCAGTGCAGCTCCTGCCCTGCCCAGACACCCCAACAATCCCACCCTGGGCATCCCTGGCAGTGCTGTCCAAACCCTCCTGGAGCTCTGGAATTCCCTGGGCAGTGCCAGCACCTCTGGGGACAGAACATTTCCCTGAGATCCATCCTGACCCTCCCCAGCACAGCTCCATGATAATCTCAGATGTCCCAGAGCCCAGGTGAAAAAGGCATCCCCACAAAACTGAGCCAAGTGGTGAATTAAAAGCTCTCAGTGGAGAAAAATCTCCATTTTCTCCCGTGGATTCTGTTCACTCTGTGCCACATTCAGCACAAGGGACATCCACAGGTGATATCTTGGTTTCACAGCTTTGTAAACACAACAAAAATAATTCCCCCTCTTCTTCCTGGGTGTTGACACCACTGGGTCCCTGCAATAATTTCTTTATTGCACAGAAATTATTGTTTGTAGTGGTGCTTTGGAAATGGGAATTTTATGGTACAGGCTTCAAGGAACTGGAGAAATTGGGGTGAGAGCAGAACTTTGAACTGTTTCCCATCAGTCCCCTGCAGAATTCAGGAGTTCTGGTGAATCTTTCCTTCAAAGCTCCAAAATTCTGCAAAGAAACAGTTCATAAAATCCTTTTTTTTTTTTTCCCAAGTTTCAGCCTCCCAGTAAGGGTAGGTATCGTTTCAGATCCCAGAAATGTCAGCTGAGAATTTCAGTGAAAATCTTTCCTTTGTGTTAATGTGGGATTCTTTGCAGGAGCCAGGATTGTCAACCCTTATTAGAGCACTAATAGGCACCATGAGATTCATTCCCCCTCTGTTGTGCCAGGTTGTATTTTGGGGTAACTCTAATATTTACTACCAAATAACTTATCAGCAGGGCTCAATATACTCTGATTTGTTGCCTAATTAAAGCCTGTCCAAAATTTCAGCACTTAAAAGATCAGAAAGTTTTAATTTTCTTCAAAAAACGGTCACTAAGAAACTGTCATAAAAATTCTAAACAAGTTATGAAAGAACTGCTCAAGCATTGAGACACTGAAAATCTCTCAGCACCATTTCTGTCAGCAGGAAAGCACTTAAAGATCAGATTTGAACCATCCTCCCTGTAATGAGCAAAGTGAACTTTGAATTTATGGAGAATATTTTAAGGTTCTTTTCAGCTGCAGGGACTCGAGCAAAGCCTCAAGTGTGGACTTGCCTCAGCATCTCCACACACCCTGAGCTGACAAGGTAAAATATCACCCAGAGCTCTGAAAATCTTCTGACAGATGGAGAAAAATGAGTGAACACGTTGGAAATATCCTTATTTTCCCACTCCATACAGCCCTGCCAGGCTCCCAGGGTGGATTTATCCTGGTGTCTCACTCACCTGTAAGTGGAGCAGTTAAAAATAAACAGCATCATCTGCAAAGGAGGACACATCAAAGCCCAGCCCATCTGATGCTGGGGATTATTCACTTTTTTTTGAACCGTGCTTGTGTCTTTTCCTTGCTGCCTTCAAAATTAATGAGCAGATTGAGGATGGGACTGGTGGCACTGAGGAACACAGGGAGCCTTTGAGATTCCCAGAGTCTGCAGCAGAGAAAAACCAGAATCTTTGCAGGTTTTGAGGGAGGAGAGAAGGGGATGTGGTTGAGCTCAGAGGTTGGTGACAGAGCTGGGAGGTCCTGGGAGCTCTAAGGAGGGTGGGAGCAGCTCTGCTGGTCCCTGACAAGGGCTGGAGTCTTGGTTTGGAAAGCCAGGAGTCTGCTAAGGAAGGCAGGAGCCTCCCCTGAAATGGAGAATGTAAACCCTCCCCACCCCTCTAAACTGCTATAAATTTTAAATTAAGGGGCTCTCAGGCAAAAATATGGGAGCAGGAAATAACAGTTCTTTAATAGGGAAAAGGGAAAAAAATAAAAGGGTAAAATAAACAGTGCAGTACACATGAACAACACTGACAGAGTCAGAACCCAACCTGACACCCTGTGGGTCAGGGTGTTGGTGGCAGTGCCATTGGAATTGTGGCTCAGCCCTCCTGCAGTGTCAGGGCTGGTTCTGCTGGAGCAGGGGGATCTGCAGAGAAGGATGTGTTCTTCCTCTGAAGATCCAGTGGAGGAAGAGGCAGCTGCTGTTCCTCTGGGGAATCCAGTGCAGAAAGCCGTGCTGGTGTCTCAAACCCTCTGGATTATATCTGGGCAGCAATGCTTGGCTCCTCCCTCTGGGCTCACATCTCCCAGTGGGATGTTATAGTTCTTATCAGCCATGCAGTGACATTCAATAGCTGTTATCAGCAATGTCCCCTCCCAGGGAGGTGTGAATGTGGTCACTCAGAGAGAGAGATAAGGCAAACTGCCCACTTGACAAAGATAATCTGCCATACAGATAGTAATGGAAAACATCTTGCATTGCAATCTTCAACAGCTGGGGACACTCCTGGGCCTTCAGAGGATCAGTCTGAGCTGGAAGGGATCTTTTAAAGAGCATCTGGTGCCACTCAGCTTCTTCTTTGGTTGGAACAGGAGTCACAGATGGGGTTGGGCTGTGTGGTGGTGTTCACAGGGGTCTGAGGATGAGGGAAGAGATGAGGATCTGACTCCATGTTTCAGAAGGCTGATTTATTATTATATGATATATATTATATTAAAACGACACTAAAAGAATAGGAGAAAGGATTTCATCAGAAGGATGAAAGAATAGAAAAGGAATTACAACAAAGGCTTGTGACTGACCAAGACAGTCCAGACAGCTGGGCTGTGATTGGCCATTAATTAGAAACAACCACATAAGACCAATCACAGATGCACCTGTTGCATTCCACAGCAGCAGATAGGAGGAAAAATCCTAAGGAAAAGATTTTTCAAAAAATTTCATAGCTATGGGGTTGGGTTGGAAAAAGCCCATCCAGTGCCACCCCTGCCATGACAGGGACACTTCCACTGTCCCTGGGGGGGCTCCAAACCTTGTCTACCCTGACCTTGGAAACTTCCAGGGATCCAGGGGCAGCCTGGGCCTGCCCACCCTCACAGGGAACAATTCCTAATTCCCAATATCCCATCCAGCCCTGCCCTCTGCCCTGGGAGCCATTCCCTGCGTCCTGTCCTTCCATCCCCCGTCCCTCTCCAGCTCTCCTGGAGCTCCCTTAGGTGATCCTCAAACCAAGAGTTTTGGGCCCATAATCTGGATAATAATCCATAATTATGGATTCTATTCTATTCTATTCTATTCTATTCTATTCTATTCTATTCTATTCTATTCTGGATCCTGTGGCCACCATTGTCACGTTCCCTTTTCCTCATCTCCAGCACACCCAAACCAAACCCAAACCCAAACCCAAACCTGGACAATCCCTGTCCCAGCTTACACCCTGCATTTGGCCAACAAAGGGTTGGGATTTCACCTCACAAACACCCGGGGGAAATCCCCTGTCACTTCTTATTGGGATCACCTCAGCTGCTGCTCCCTCAGGTGGATTGAGGCTATTTTGGAAAAGCTTCAAAGGTGCAGCTCTCACTACAGCAGCATCAAAAACCACTTCTAATGGAGCCTGAAAAGAAACTGAGAGTGATTTCATTTTAAAGGAGCTGCAAGCTTGTTAACCATGGTCACTTCCAGTGGAGGAGGGCTCAGTGAGCAGGCCCTTCATGGCCAAATGTGTGTCCAACCCTCCCTGGGGCATCCTCCAGGCTGTGAGCTCTGCTGTCAGTGTGAGAGTACAGGGCTGCCCTCCCTGAATGGGGCTGGGATGGAATTCCCAGAGCAGCTGTGGCTGCCCCTGTACCCCTGGAATTGTCCAAGGCAAGGCTGGACAAGGTTTGGAATCCCCTGGGACAGTGGAAGGTGTCCCTGCCAGGGCAGGGGTGGCACTGAATGAACTTCAAGGTCCCTCCCAACCCAAATTGTTCTGTAGTTCTGTGATTCTACATTTTATTTTTTTGTGTCTTATTTTCTAACCCAGACCATAAAAAAAAAAAAAAACAAAACTAAAATTCAACCCCTGAATGTTGGGTAAGCTCATGTTTTTACAAGCAGATTCTCCAGGATGATTTATACTGCAGGTGTGCAGTCTGGGATGAGGAGGGAAGAAAAACCTCCTTTGCCCTTCCCTCCTCTCCTTTTTCTTTGCAAAATAAGGTCAGCTCTTATCTAAAGCCAATGGCTCCTCCAGCCAAGCCCTGCCCAAACCAGGGCTGAGCCAGAGGCCACACATTGCTCTGTGGGGGGAACAATCACCATTTTCTGGGTATGAAATCCAGCATTTTGGTTAAATCTGGCAAAAAAAAATCTGGTTAAAAATCTGGTTAAGTAAGTGTGGCCTGAGAAGAGTAGGTTGAGAACGTGAGAGAGGAGCAGCTCTGCAGACACCAAGGGCAGTGGAGGAAGACGGAGAGAGAGAGGGAGAGGGAGGGAAAGGGAAAGGGGAAGGGGAAGGGGAAGAGGAAGAGGAAGAGGAAGAGGAAGAGGAAGAGGAAGAGGAAGAGGAAGAGGAAGAGGAAGAGTAGGGGAAGAGGAAGAGGAAGAGATGCTCCAGGCAGCAAATCTGAGATTCCCCTGCAGCCTGTGGTGCAGACCATAGAAGAAGGATGAAGAAGGATGGAGGAAGGTGCAGAAGGATGGAGGAAGGTGCAGAAGAATGGAGGAAGGTGCAGAAGAATGGAGGAGGGTGCAGAAGGATGGAGGAGGATGAAGAAGGATGGAGGAAGGTGCAGAACAATGGAGGAAGGTGCAGAAGAATGGAGGAAAGGTGAAGAAGGATGGAGGAAGTTGAAGAAGGATGAAATAGGATGAAGGAAGGATGGAAGAGGGTGAAGAAGGATGGAGGAGGCAAAGAAGAATAAAGAAGGATGAAGAAGGATGGAGAAAGGCGTAGAAGGCTGGAGGAAGGTGCAGACCATAGAAGAAGGATGAAGAAGGATGAGGAAGGTCACAAGGATGGAGGAAGGTGCAGAAGGATGAGGAAGGTCACAAGGATGGAGGAAGGTGTAGAAGGATGGAGAAAGGTGCAGAAGGATGAAGAAGGATGAAGAAGGATGAGGAAGGTCACAAGGATGGAGGAAGGTGCAGAAGGACGCTCCCTGCAGCCCATGGAGCACCCCAGGGATGGTGTTCCCCACTCTCTGTCCCCTCTGCGCCGGGGGATGCTCAGGGCCAGGGCAGGTGCAGGGTTGGCAGCTGGGCCCTCGGGGGTCCCGGTGAGCTGGGCTAAGCCCCTGCCACGAGCTGTGAAAAGGCAAAAGACCCGCACCACGATAACCCGGGGCTTTTCTCAGCCATGACACCCGCAGTCATTTGCATCTAAACAGGGGTGTGTGGGATCAGGGGGCCGGCTCGATATAAACTCAGCAGCTTAACGGGAGCGGGGGGGAGGGAAAAGCAGAGAAGGCAGAGAGAGAAAAATAAGCTTATAGCGATGAGAAAGAGCTAAGCTTCCTCCCCTACTGTGAGGCAGGGCGAGCGATACCATCGCAGCGCCGCAGTCGTTTCAAATCGCTGCCGCATTCACACGCCCTTTAGCCATTCTGGGGGGCTGGGGAGCGCCTTCAAAAGGGATTTCCCAGCCGGGCTGGCGGGATTGGAGGGTGACGGCAGGACAGGGGAACATTGCCCCGTTGCTACGAGGTGCTCCTGGGGAATGCCAGCGCTCTGTGCCGTGGGTACGCTGGCCGGCGGAAACATTCCGCATTATGCGGGTAATACAGTGTGACACCGAGGGAACAATGGCAAATTGAGTGTCCCAGCAGGTAACGGGGCTGGCTGGGAGACAGTCGCAGTGGTGCACTGTCAAGGCGGCTCTAATCCTCCCTCGCCAGCCCCTCCCCTGGTTCTGGGAACGCCGCTCCCGCCTGTCGTCTCTGGGAAATTCTCCCGGCTCCTCGCCCGGAGCCCGGCCAGGGTTTCAAGGCACCGAGCGGTTTGGGGGTGGCAGCTCGATCCCCCCTGTGCTGGCACCGAGCGGGGACACGGGGACATGGGGGGTACAGGGGGTATGGGGGACACGAGGGGCATGGGGGATACAGGAGACACGGGGGACACAGAGGACACGCGGGACATAGGGCACACGAGGGGCATGGGGGGTACAGGGGACACGGGAGACGTGGGGGACACAGGGGACACTGGGAGTATAGGGGGCACAGGGGACACGGGGGGTACAAGGGGTACAGAGGACACGGGGGACATGAGTGACACAGGGGGTACAGGGGACGTGGGGGGTACAGGGGAGACGGGGGACACCTGGAGTATAGGGGGTACAGGGGACACGGGAGGCATAGGGACACGGAGGGCACAGGGGACACAGGGGACATGAGGGACACAGGGGGCACGGGGGATATAGAGGGCATAGGAGGCACAGGGGACACCGTGGGTACAGGGGACATGGGGGGCACAGGGGACACGGGGCAGCTGCAGGAGCCGTGTCCATCGCGGCCCTGCCAGGAGGGCACTGCCAGCCCAGCCCAGCCCCGTGCCCATCCACACCTCCCAGGGCCAGCAGAGCCACATCGCTCCCGTGTCCTCCCCCTGTCCCCGGGCTGTCCTGGGCTGGCTCCTGTGATCTGCTCTGGGCCACCCAAAGAGCCTTGGTCAGGCTGGAACACCTCAGTGCCAGCAGGGACCTTCCAGCGGTGCCCACAGCCCCAGCGGTGCCCGCAGCCCCAGGGATGCTGGGGAGAGATCCCCCAGGATAACCTGGCTGGTTTTCCAAGCTGGATCCCTGCTGGCACAGCAAAGGAGGGAAGAGTTGGAGCTGAAAGGAGGTGAAAACCTCAGCAGGGTGCTGCCAGCACAGCCAGGACTGAGCAGCCCTGCTTGGAGATCCCATTTGGGATTCCCACAGCTGGCAGCACCCACAGACACCTCTCCTGAGAGCCTGGCATCAGCCCAGCTTGGCAAAGCTGGCTTTTGGGTCTGCAGAGAGGCTGAGGCTGGGGACAGGGGCTGCTGTCCCCAGGCACAGGGCAGGGATGCAGGAGACAGCTGAGAGATGGATCCTTCATGGCTTCTGCTCTGGAAGGAGGGGAATGGCTCCAAGGTGATTTTCTCAGCAGAAATTTCCGATTCATCCCACACTCATCCCCGTGATCTGATCACACCAGACCCAAGAGCACTCAGAGCCCTCCAGCCCAGACACCACAGCCCCTGAGCTCCAGCCTCTCCTGCACCCTGGTTCAAGGTTGGATTGACCCCAACACCTGCTCTGGATCTAGAGAAGTCTCTATATGACAAGTCTCCGTGTTTAGGTGGGCTGAAGCAGCCTGGTGTCACTGCCCAGGGAGCTGCAGCTCTGCAGAGCTCTGAGCCCTGGTGTCCCCAAGGGGAAAGTTGGCTCTGACACACCAACACTGCTTGGGAGAGCCTGGGTGAGACCAAGGTCAAACTCCTGATCTCCCACAGTGTGTCTGCATCATCCAAAACCTTTCCCCAGGTCAACGAGCTCCTCCATCTCTAACCCCTGGCATGGAGCCCTTCTCTGGGTTCCCAGGACAGGAATTACTCCAGTAATTCTCTCCTGAGGCCCCTCAAGCTGCTACTGATGCCTTGTTCACCCCTGAGCACCCATGGATCAAATCCTGGGCCCTGTGTTTGGGAAATGCTGCAGGGAGCTGGAGTCACACCCTGCCCCACCTCCTGCTCCAGGAAACCTTCATTAACAAATTAACAAAATAACTCCTTTCCAAATTAACAAAATAAACCTTTTCAGCAAGGTTTAGGGGCTGCTGGGTGGAGCTGGGAAGGAGAACACTGTTGAATTTGCAGGGTCCCCAGGAGGAAGGGAGAGAATGATGAATTTGACTCCATGTTCTTAGAAGGCTAATTTATTATTATATTATATTATATTATATTATATTATATTATATTATATTATATTATATTATATTACATTACATTACATTATAGAATGCTATACTAAAACTACACTAAAGAATAGAGAAAGGATACAGACAGAAGGTTTAACAAGAATGATAATGAAAACTCATGGCTGCTTCTAGAGTTCCTGTGATGGTGTTCACAGGGGTCCGAGGATGAGGGAAGAGATGAGGATCTGATTCCATGTTTCAGAAGGCTGATTTATTATTTTATGATATATAATATATTAAAACTATACTAAAAGAATAGAAGAAAATATTTCATCAGAAGGCTGGCTAAGAATAGAAAAAGAAAGAATGAATAACAAAAGCTTGTGTCTCAGACAGAGAGTCCAAGCCAGCTGACTGTGATTGGCCATTAATCAGAAACAACCACCTGAGACCAATCACAGATGCACCTGTTGCATTCCACAGCAGCAGATAACCATTGTTTACATTTTGTTCCTGAGGCTTTTCAGCTTCTCAGGAGGAAAAATCCTAAGGAAACGATTTTTCAAAAAATATCATGGCTACAAGTCCCGACACAGCTGATGTTGATCGGTCATTAGGTTAGAACAATTCACATGTTGGATAAACAATCTCCAAACCAGCAAAACACAGGATAAGCTGAGGTTTTCCAGCTTCCTAGGAGAAAATCTCAGGCAAGGGGGATTTTTGCAGGAACTGTGACAGTGGCAGCCCAGCAGTGCTCTGTGTCTTGCAGCCACACGCGAATCCGCCTTCGTGCACGCCATCGCCTCGGCCGGGGTGGCCTTCGCTGTCACCCGCTCCTGCGCCGAGGGCACCTCCACCATCTGTGGCTGTGACTCCCACCACAAGGGACCCCCGGGGGACGGCTGGAAGTGGGGGGGCTGCAGCGAGGACGCCGACTTCGGGGTGCTGGTGTCCCGGGAGTTCGCGGATGCACGGGAGAACCGGCCGGACGCGCGCTCCGCCATGAACCGGCACAACAACGAGGCTGGCCGGACGGTGAGTGACCACTGGGACAGGCTGGGTGACCAGGGGGACAGGCTGAACAGCCACTGGGGACAGGCTGGGTGACCAGGGGGACAGGCTGAACAGCCACTGGGGACAGGCTCAATGGCCCCTGGGGACAGGCTCAAAACTGCCCCCCAAAACTCAAGGTGAGGCTTCCCAGACTGAGCTTAGAGCAGACATTTAAGCCCAGGTGGCACAGGTGGGTGATGGAGAGCAAACCCTGTGACCGTGTTCACAGGGGTCTGAGGATAAGGGAAGAGATGAGGATCTGACTCCATGACTCAGAAGGCTTGATTTATTATTTTATGATATATATTATATTAAAACTATACTAAAAGAATAGAAGAAAGGATTTCATCAAAAGGCTAACTAAGAATACGAAAGAAGGAATGAATAACAAAGGCTTGTGGCTCAGACAGAGATTGTGATTGGCCTTTAATTAGAAACAACCACATGAGACCAATCCCAGATGCATCTGTTGCATTCCACAGCAGCAGATAACCATTGTTTACATTTTGTTCCTGAGGCCTCCCAGCTTCTCAGGAGAAAAAATCCTCAGGAAAGGATTTTTCATAGAAGATGTCTGTGACAAAACCCCATGTTCCGTTCTGTGGCTGTTTCTGCTGCTGACTCTGCTCTGTCCCACACAGACCATCCTGGACCACATGCACCTCAAGTGCAAGTGCCACGGGCTCTCGGGGAGCTGCGAGGTCAAGACCTGTTGGTGGGCCCAGCCTGATTTCCGAGCCATCGGGGACTACCTGAAGGACAAATACGACAGCGCCTCGGAGATGGTGGTGGAGAAGCACCGCGAGTCGCGGGGCTGGGTGGAAACCCTCAGGGCCAAGTACGCGCTCTTCAAGCCACCAACAGAGCGGGACCTGGTCTACTACGAGAACTCCCCCAATTTCTGTGAGCCCAACCCCGAGACGGGCTCCTTTGGGACGAGGGACAGGACGTGCAACGTCACCTCGCACGGCATCGACGGCTGCGACCTGCTGTGCTGCGGGCGCGGCCACAACACGCGGACTGAGAAGCGCAAGGAGAAATGTCACTGCATCTTCCACTGGTGCTGCTACGTCAGCTGCCAGGAGTGCACGCGGGTCTACGACGTCCACACCTGCAAGTAAAGCACAGGTGGGGCTGCACTGGTGGAGGTGGCTCCAGAGCAGGGCCCCAAGGGTCACTCAGACCCACACGTGGCCTCACACTGATGGAGGATGGCACAAAAATCCTGGTGGCCCCAGCCAGGGTACCGAGAAGGCTCTGGGCAGCTCACCCAGGTGAGGTGGGACTGCTGGTGCATCGGGCTGGCTGGGGAGGGCAGGGATGGGACAGGGAGGACAGGGACAGAGAGAGCAGGGACAGGACAAAATGCCCTGGAGAGCAGGGACAGGACAAGGAGAGCAGGGACAAGACAGGGAGAGCAGGGACAGGACAAAAACTGGGACAGGACAAGGAGAGCAGGGACAGGACAAGAGCAGGGACAGGACAAGAGTAGGGACAGGACAGGGACAGCAGGGACAGGACAAGAGCAGGGACAGGACAGGAAAGGCAGGGACACGACAGAAGGCAGGGACAGGACAAGAGCAGGGACAGGACAAGGACAGCAAGGACAGGACAAAAGCAGGGAGAGCAGGGACAGGCCAGGAAGACCAGGGACAGGACAGGGAGAGCAGGAATAGAACAGAGAAGGCAGGGACAGGACAGGGAGAGCAGGGACAGAACAAGAGCAGGGACAGGACAGGACAGGCAGCAGAGACCAGGGACAGCTGTGTCCCAGCGAGGCACAGCCCCACGAGGCAGAGCTGATCCCACAGCAGCCCCCAAGCTCCCAGCTCTGTCCTGCCCCACAGGCCCAGCCCCTGCAGGCACCAGCACGGGGGCTCAAGTGGAAATGGATTGGGTTGGGTTGGGTTGGGTTGGGTTGGGAAGGGAAAGCTCCCCCAGCTGCTGCCGTCCTGCTCTCAGCACATGCAGGGGGGACAGGAAGGAGCCCCCAGCCCAGCCCAGCTCCCTCCTCCCTGCTCTGAGGTGATGCTGGAGAACCAAACCTGAGCAGATTAACAGAGCCCAGGGGTCCCTCTGCCCTCTCTGTTCCCCCTCCCCACATCTCCCATGGAGGATTTCAGCAAGGCAGAGCCCTGAGCTGACCCTGGGGCATCTGGCCAGGACAGGAGCAGGGCACAGGGCACTGCTGCCACCTCCCACAGGGGACAGCACTGTCCCATCACCTCCTCACCGTGCAGCTGCCCAGGAGAGGATTTAAGGATCATTGACTGAGCATTCCCCAACATGACTTCACATCCCAGGGGGAGCTCAGGGTCTCTCTGTGGACAGGTTACCTGCCAAGTGAACAGGAGAGACTCCAGGGAGAGAGGAAATCTCTGTCCCAGCCTCCTTGTCAGCCTTGTCAGTGCCACAGCACAAAGCCAGTCAGAACCTTCCCCTGCCAGGATTTACTTAGCTGTCAGCAAGCATCCAGAAAGTTCCATGAGCAGGAATTTGGGCTCCCCCCTCATCCCATAGAGCAGAACCAGTGTTTGTCCCCTCCTGCTCCCCAAGCCATCCCCTGTTTACCTTCTCCAGGACTGACCTGTGAAATTAATAAAATAAATATTCCCTCTGTCCTGGTGGGCTCCAGAACCAAGAGCCAGGCTCAAACCCACCCCAGGCAGTGAACTCCAGGGAATGGTGGCCCCTGGGGCTGGGGCTGCTGCTCCAATCTCTCTTTTCCTGGGAATGAGCAGCCCCTGGAGCTGCACAGAGCAATAAAGGGGAGAGACAGAGCCTGACATAACCCCAGGTCCCTCCCTGCAGAGGAGCCTTTGCTCCCAGAAATTCAAACCCCAGAGAGCTCCAAAAACCTCCCCAGCCAGAGCCACGCCATCCTCTGATATGCATCTATTTAAAATATATATTAAAGACTCCCAGGACCCGACTTAAAAACAAAATCCCTTCTTTGTTTGTTTGTTTTTTTAATCAAGAAAAGGTATTTAATATTAAATAGAACATTTATTGCCTTGTAATTATTTTACTGTAGCCAGGTATTCTAGCACTGAATGGAAGATCTTTTTTCCATCAATCTGCTGTATCCAAAGTTTTGTATAAAGTTGTAGAGGTCGATTTTTTTTTATTTTATATTCAGAAAATTTCTCTTTTTATAAGCATTATTTATTATACAATGTATATACTTGAGTTAACTAAGATTATATATTATATAAATATATATATTTGGAGAAAAATATATTTCAACTTCCATTTTTTTTGTGGTACATCATTAAAGAAAAGGTAAAAAATTCAAAAATATGCACTTGCCAGCTTGTGTGGTTTGGCTCTGAGGGACAGCCATGGAATCATGGAATCCCAGGATGGTTTGGGTTGGAAGAGACCTAATCAATGGATTAAGATCAAATTAAGGAATGGATCATGATAAGATCAAATTAATCAATGGATCAAGATCAAATCAGGCAATGGATCAAGATCAAATTAAGCGATAGATCAAGATCAAATTAATCAATAGATCAAGATCACATTAATCAATAGATCAAGATCAAATTAACCAATGGATCAAGATCAAATTAATAGATCAAGATCAAATTAATCAATAGATCAAGATCAAATTAATCAATGGATCAAGATCAAATTAAGCAATGGGTCAAAATCAAATTAATCAATGGGTAAAAATCAAATTAAGGAATGGATCAAGATCAAATTAATGAATGGATCAAGATCAAATTAAGGAATGGATCCAAGCAGGCTCCAGACTTTGCACCCCCCCCACATGTCACAGGCTCCCTCTGAATCCCCTTCCAACACTTTGGACAGACCAAACTCCACATTTTCTCATATAAAAACCTGTTCTCCTGTCCCTGAATAGTTCTGTGGGTGTTTCTGCAGCATCTCCCTCACATCAGCAATGCTTTTCAGTGCACACAATTTTCCACTGCACTGGCCTCCAATGTACCTGTCTGAAGGGCAAAATAAATATGGAATCACTCAAATTCTTGCCCTGATCCCCAAATTATTCACACAATTACTCACAAAGCCATCCCATGGGTCCACCTGCATGGCCAGGGTGTCTCTGATGGTGCCACCACCCCTGGCCTGTCCTACCTCACCAGAGCACCTGGCCCATGGAGGGTTCTGAACTCCACAGCTCTGGGGGTGAAGCTCTCCCTGTGTGCCCACCTGCCCCAAACCTCCCTCCACCCCACACCCTGCCCCCAAATCCCATCCCAGCACCTTCCAATCTGCCTCTGGCCAACAACTCCACTTCAGGGACACATTTCTGGAAAGTTCAAGATGAAACAAGGTAAGGAAGGGGGTGAAGAATCCAATACATTGAAAGCAATATTGTGTATTTATTATAGATTTAAAGGAGGAGCCACACAGGTGGTGGGAAGGTGCTGCCCTTCCCTGCAGGGAACATCTCAGATCTTGGAGCAGAGCTTGGAGTGGCTCAGGTGTCACACCCAGCAGCCCAGCCTGGTTTTCCAGGGGTGGGATACTTTCCATGAATCATGGAAATTAATAATTTCCATGGATAACCCCACACACACACACCCAAAGCCTCCTCAGCCCTGCAGAGCCCACACAGCTCCAGAATGGGCTGGAGCAGAATCCTCTCAATTTCTGTCAAGAATAAGAGGTAAGAGCTGCTCAGGGTGGGCTAAATTCAATCCATCCACACTCTGGGCACCCCTCTGGCTGCAGCTCTGCTCCTCACACACACCAGCAGCAGACACAGATCATCACAAGGAGTTGTGCTTTTTATTGAATCCATTGAATGTGCAATTAAACCAGATATTTATTATTCATCCATATAGTTCTGGACACAGACACGATAATGTTTACATCATTTACTCTGAAATATAAGTTACTGTGTGCTGCTGTCACCTGGACTGGCAGAGGGGGAGGGAGGAACAAATAAATTCACAAGATCCTACACAAAAAAATGAGAGGGAGCCACCACTGGGACTCACAAAAGCATCACAACACAACAGCACTGCCAGAGGAGCAGAGTGGAGTGCCCTGAGCACCCCAACTGCTGTGAGCACACTGAGGACAACAGGACCTGGAAGGACATGGGGACCCTCTGGGAACACCCCCTGCACACCCTGCTAGCCCTTCTTGGGGCTGCTCGAGGTTGGGGAGCTACACTGACTAACATCTGCTAAATGGCTTTGATTTCATGCCCCACCACGCTGAGGTATGTTCCAGGAACCTTCTGGAAGGAGTGGAGCCTCAGCATCTCCCTGAGGCCACAGGAGCAGGGGAAGGAGCGTGGAGCAAAAGTTTGAGATACATTCCTTTATTTCAGTGCAAAAACATGGCAACACTCATCTCCTGCACCTGCAGAGCTTGGCCTCCTCTCTGTCTCTAAAGGAGGAATTTCAACCTTTGGTAACATGGCAGGAAAAAGGGATAAAATGAGGCTGGAGGATACCAAAGCTGCCAACTACAGAACTCAGGAAGAGCTGGAGGTTGGAACCAGCATTGCTAAAAGTGTTGTTGGATGAACAACAAGGTTTGATGCCTTAAATACTGGATTTGGAAATTTCCTCTACTCTGATCAACACTTCCCTGCCCTCTTCCAGTGCCCAATCCCACCAGGCCCCAAAATACCTGGATTTAAATGAAGAGGGTGCAGCATCCAGGCACTGCTGGAGCTCTGTCTGTGGGCATGGGGCTGGCTCCACAAAATGCCTCCATCTGACCAGGATCACACAGAGCAGTGCTTCAGCATCCCTCCACCAGACTGGCAGGTTTATTAGGAGCCAGGATCTCTTTCCTACTGCAGGAATGCTGGACACAAGTGAGGGTCAGCCCCAAAGCTCCCAGCACATTCCCCCTGCTCACCCCAAAATACAGAGACAGAAGCACAGGGCTCCAGGGGACACTTCCACGTGACATCAGGGTATGAGAGACAAAGATAAAGAATAAAGTATTGCACTACACATGCAGGTTCCACATGGGGCTCTGGGGATCAGGGGAGCATTTCACTTTTGTCCAGAAGAGTAAAGATCCCAGTGTTTGTTCTCCAGGTTGGTCACTTTTCCAGCTGTTGATCTTGCACTTGGTCCACCTTCAGTCTAGGGTAGGGACTCTTGCAAAAGAAGCCAAATCCATCAGGAAAGCATCATGCACATGTATAAAGCATCAAGCACACACTGGAACCCACTCACATGGAGCCAGGATAGATAGTTTGGTGTGAGTTTCCCCAGCACAGGTACTGCCCTACATGATTAGAAAGTCATTCTGTCCCACTGGGCTCAACTACTCCCTGTGGCACCTATGGGGAAAG